TATTTTCATTTCTTTAATCATATTCTTTGTTTCATCAATTTAATTCATTTTCTTTTTATTCATTTTTTCTATTATACATCTTACACATAAACATCTATCTTCTTAAGCTATCTATCTTTCTAAATCAACTAAAATTATTTCTAATTTATGTTTTTAACACATTTTCATATCCTACTATTCCATTTTCTATTAAAAATTATTAATTAAATAAATATATTAAATTAAATTTATTGTTTTTATATTCATATATTTTTATAAATTAAAAACAAGGAACTTTATATACAAACTAATAAGAAGTGAATAGATATTTTATTTTTCAAAAAAAATAAATTCGTTTTTTCTTTCTGTGGCCAAGTTAGCTTATGAGATTGATATCATTAATGAGCTAGAAGTCTTTTGAAAATAATTTAAATTAAGAAAAGTATCAGGATTTAACCATTCAAAATTATTCCTGAATCTCCAATAAAAATATTTCTTATTTTTGTAAATATTTTTTAAACAATAGATAAATATTTTGAATTAGAAAAAATAATTATGTAATTCCAATTTTAATTAGTTATTAATTTGATTGGTTATATTTTGAAATTTATTGTTCATTAAAGAAAAATAATTATAATTAAAACTCAATTACGAATTAAAGTTCAAGTATTTAAGTTTAACATTATTTAAAATACTAAGTAAATCAATAATTGATCTACACATTTTATTTCGGATATAAATAAGTTAGAAACATTTATGATAGAATAATATAATTTAATTATGTGAGCAGTGAAATAATTGTGAATAAATCGGAAAAGAGCTCACGTTTCGAGTAATTATTTAAATATTGTTTAAAAATTACGATAGAAACATAATAGATGTTTGCTAAAAGTGTATCAAAAAATTTATTTTAATTGAACATAACAGAAATTCCTATTATTTCCTTCAATACTAAAATTGTTAGGTTTAATTCAACTCAACTGTTAGAGAGAAGGATTCGAATTATTATTTATTGTTTTTTTATCTATATTTTCTAGTCCTAATTTCTTTTAAAAAGTTTCCCTTTTCATATAACTCTTATTTATAAATATAACTCATTAGTGAATAGTGAAGTAAAATCAAGAATGGGTTGCTCGTTAACACGCTTGAAAAGGAGCTTAACTTTTGGGCCCAAACAATTAATTTTATTTCATAAATTAAAAACATTTAAATAAAGTATAATTTATCTTCAATACAGATGCCTTTGTATTTCTTCTTTTTTGGAAATTTCGAAAATCTTATTCCTATGTTCAATATTGTAAGCATTTAAAACTCTTAGAAAATTGACACTTAACCTTTGTGCAACCGATCCCCCGAGACTTCAATTTATATTATTTAATCTAGGTATAGGGCATCTTAAATGAGATACTAAACCAATCTAAGAAGGATAAAGATTTTAAGTGCTTAAATTTCGATAATAAGAAAACCTTGACCTATATGCTAAATTCTTTACTGCGTTCTTGGGAAATCACATCTCAGAATTTTTGGGAACAACCTCTCATTAAAAGATAATCTATATATTCTAGATATTAAGTATATCTTCAATGCATATTACATAATCCTCTTGTAGCACCATAAAAAATTATTATTTTCAATAATATAATATTTTTTATTGAACCTTCATTTTAATGGTTTTAAATTCCTTGAATGGGGAAATACTATTGTTAAATTCCATTTACTAAAAAAAAATTCATTATCTTGAGGCTCTATCAAATATCTTCTATTTATTAAAATTTTGTAATAATACATTTGTTTATTAATAATCATATCTTTTGGTTATTCTATAATAAGGCCAAGGGCTTATTTAATAATTTATTATTCAATTCGGTTATTGGAACAAACTTTCATCCAAGATAATGATAATGATGGTTAGTGGTTTATGATCAAAAAAATTTTTAGAGAATTATCCACTAATTAGGGCAGTAGAGAATTAAAAATGTCAAAAATAGCTCTCTAATGAACTTCTTCAACTAGTTAAACTTAAATAATAATGTATATAAGTTACTAGATCTCTCATTATCACCTCAAGTATTTAATTTAACACTAGTGTTATAAGAAGATTAACCATTCCTAAACCATTAATATTTAATTAATTACACTTCTCTATAATAACCAATCAAAGCTACAAATCTGCTGTATTTTCAATACTATATCTTAAGGTTGGGCCTATATCCTTTTTTAATTTGGGTTCTATTCAAATAAATTTAGAAGCATTCAAAACGATATCCAAATTCATAAAGAAATTTTAAGTGATATAACCAATTTTAAATAGAAAAATTGGCAATTAAAAGCAAATTTTCCACTAACCATAAAATGAGAAACTCTAGTCTATTCAATTTGTAATTATAAAATTTAGCAAATCTACAAATACCAAAAATTTAGTATTCAAATTTTCATTAGTTGATATTTGAGTGGATTGTCGCTTGATTTATTTAAAAAAAATTGAAATAACTTGAATATTTTTTGACAAACTCATAGCTTTTAAGTCAATGGAGGGTAATTAATTGACCTTCTGAGGAATTCTGAAAACCTTTCAAACACGGTGGGCAGGGAAAATATTTCATCGCCCATTGATATCGAAGTGTTAGAAAGGAGATTCCCTTATCCATCTCTGTTCCCTAAAACATTTTTGCATGCACCAAAGTGCTTATGGTAAGGATTAGATGAGGCTAGAGGAAGGTTCAAGTCCTAAATTCCCAGCTGTTTGGGCAAGAATCGGATTCTTTCCAGAATTTTGATGTTATTAATTCATTGTAATTAGGGAGGTAAAAAGGTACTAATTTCATATATTTTTTCAATATTAAATGATCTTGAGAACAAAGATTCCAGTTTTTCTACCTGATTCTATCAATATTTTAAATTATGAGGATTATCTTAGATTATGTATAGCTTAATGAAATTAATACAACTATTATTTATTATGTTCATCCCTTAAATTTATTGTGCAATTTCAGATAAATTATGAGGGTTTTCCATTTGTTATATGATAAAATACGAACTCAATAATTACAATAATTATATTTCAAACTATAGATAATAGATTTCTCAAAGAATATATGAAATAAAAAATAGCCTTATAATTTATTTTATTACTTTACTACTGTATTTCTTTTAATTAACTCAAATTGGAAAGCCACAAATAATTAATTATATTTCATGAGATTAAGCACAAAAAATAAACTTTAAATAATTTTACATATTTTATATTATAATTTTCAGAATTACTTAAATTTTCTTATTTATATTTCCTTTTATTCATTATCCCAAGTTATCAAATATTCTCCATCATCACTTAATTAACCATAACAATTAGGACTACTAAATTCAATAGATTATTCGACTACAAAGTCATCATTTTCTTTCTTTTTTAATAAATTCACATTCTTGCCATTCTTATTCACCAAGAAGCATTTTGATTTTAAGTATTATTATGGAAATAAACACTCACAAACAGTTGAACCACACTTTACTGTAATTTCCTTAGTCATCTTATACAAATTATCATTAGTATCCATTTCAAATATTTACATCTTTTCTTTACATATAGGCTAGAATGTAAATAAGTTATCATTAATAAAACATAATCTCTATCCATACGAATCAAGTTTTATCTTTTATTTAACACTCCACCCTTTATCCAAATTAGACTATTCTATTACTAATATTTAAGAATCTTTTGAACAAGAAATCAATTTACTTTATTGTTCACTTAAACTTAATGAATATACATAATTAGTATGATCAGTTATAGTTTATTAACAAATTCATTAATTCTATTTTTTCCAAAATTTTATTGTTTTATCATAACTACCTGATATTATTAGATCATCTATATTATTTAACAATAAACAAAATATCCTACTTGAATGTCCATTTAACTTTTGTAAACAATCCCATTTATAATATTCAGTCTCCTACCAAATTATTATTAAATTATCAAAACTTCCAGATGCAAAATTATTAGTCTTTTTCATAAAATTTAAAGTCAATACATCATTTTTATGCTCACTTAATAATTAAATTTGATTTAATAACCCTTTTTCATGTCGAAATACTTTAATGTCTTTACCAAATCCAGCTAATACTATGGAGTTATCTTTTCTGATAGCAATAGCGTAACATTTATCTTCTTACGGAATTGAACTTTAATTCATGAGTTCAAAGGTTATGTAGTTTTGATTTGCTTTCGATATATTTAGGTGTTATTGCTAAGCTAAAATCAATATTTTGGGGTCAGAATTTGGAATTTGGAATTTAAACTATTGCTTTTAGTTTTTAAGATTCCTTTCTTTCTTTAATGTCTCATCTATAATAAATTAGGTTTATTCAATTGATTATTTAAGTTGTTTAAATAGTAATTCTTCGCAACTTTCCAATTAACATAAACTCTTAATCATGTTATCAATCTATGATATTCCTATATCTGGAAATTATTATGTATCAAAGTTAAAATAAGGTATCAAAAATTTAAGAAGATTATCAAGGGATAATTTGCACTCTTAAATATTCTATTATACATTTTAAACACGAAAGATTCGTTGCTAAATCCATTCATTTAGTAGTTCTACAGATATTAATTTCTTTAGATGTTGACCATGACGAGGCAAGCAAAAATTACAATAAGGCCTTTAATCTTGGCAAATACTATCTATACAAAAGCCCATTATTTATTAATTTCTATGATCGGCTTAGGTACATCTAATCTACATTTTGTATTTCTATTAAAATTACTATTTAAATATTATTTAATTTTAATCTTAAAAACTTGAAAAAATTATTTACAAATGAAATGAGTGAACTTAGACTAAAATATAGAAGAGTTTTTTACAACATAAAGTGGAAATTGCCAGCTAAGTAAAATTTTGAAAAATCATTTCTTAATTTTAGTTCTCAAATAATTCTTTTGAGAAAAATATATACTTTATTGATTTATCAATTTATATATATAAAATT